CTTTCCATTTACAGTGGCACCTAAAATGAAAATGGACTTTAATGCTACATACCTTTGTTTTGAAATTATTCTTCGTTATCAATTAATAAAAAAAACTTTATGACTTAAAATGTACAAATAGTTTACATTTTGCAAAAAAAAAGAGTTCCTACTTATCAACGATCGAGATTTCCATATATGTTTGTATAGAAGGAGGGAGATACTATAAAAGGGAATAGAGCATAGCTAAAAATCCATTTGATTGGCTAATTATTATCTATTTTTTAATTATTTTAATTGGCTGATCATCATACATTTTTTTTGATTGGCTAATTTATAATTTTAATTTTCTAATAGTAAAACGAATCTACTAGCATAATAATCTTAATCAAGGCATAAAAAAAAATATTAATTTAATATATCAATATTAAATTATAATTAATACAATTTATGAATTTAGTATATTTTTGTATTACAACGATTTGTATAATGTAAAATATATAATATATAAAAATTAAGCTTTAATTAAATACATAAAATATAATAAATATATTAAAATTTTGTAAAAAATACTATGACAAAAGATTAATAATAGACCTTATTCTATTTATTATTGTGATAAAAATTCAAATAGTCAGAGTCGTCATCGTTATCGTCAACTGTATCAGATGTATCAAACTCGTCATGATTTAGTGAATTGCTTTCCGATTCTTTAATACTTTTGTTACAGATCTAAGAAAAAGTTAATTTATTGTGCATGATGGCTTATTGTAGTATACATTGAAAACAGGATATCATACCTCTCTACTAGTTTCTGAAGGATATTTTTATCGTTTTGGAGTTTGTTGTTTTTCGGAATCATTATTCTTGACTCTTTTCGATGGCGATTGATTAAATACGTCTTCGTCTTTTGTATCTATTATCAGATCAGTTGAGGTGGTTCTCGTCTCTTCCTCTATGTTGATTTTGTACTTAGATTTACGTGATTTTAGCAGGTGGCTGGAATATATTATCTTCTCCTCTCTAACATCTTCGCATGATATTCGTACTATGCAAATAGTTCATATCGTTAGAGTAGAATACCAGAAAATTGATGTCATATTCCTGAGCTCACCTCTTCGATTTCTTCATTTTTTGCTAATTTATTAAGACTAGCCAACCATTCTCCTTTCATTTTTTTTGTTAAGCTCCAAAAAAATAAGCAAGATAAGGATATTAGTTAACGGTTTAAATAAAAATATATATATTAACAATCTATTGTGCAATGAGGAAACCTAGGGTGACGCGAGAGCATTCTGTATAGTATCGATGCTTTGTCTAATAGAACACAATAGTAGCAACACGCCAAGAAAACCCAGAGTGACGCGAGGGCACTCCGTATAGTATTGACCTGGCTTAAAGCCAAGCTGTATTATTGACAGGTTATGCTCATTTGCACAGAAAATATACTAACCTTGAACGATTTCTTTAGTGAAATTGCCTTTGAGCACTTCAAAGAGTCGTATTTTTGCTCGATAAAATCCAGACATTTCTTGTACTTGTAATTGTAGACTTTACGGGGTTAGGCAGAAGCAACCTTTTATTAAAAGCGTAGCGTATAAAGCTTGAGTAGGACTAACTATCAGTAGGATATTCGTCGAAATAATCAGAGTAAGGAATAAGTTTTTCTTTCGACATATGATATGATCAAAAAAAAATGATAATCATTTGATTCGCGAAATTGATATGAGTCACACTGAAAACGCGCCAGATGTTTGATATAAAGCATGTGACGAATATCAAGGCAAAGCCACAATTTTACTGTGCTGATTTGACATGTGCTGGCAATCACGATTTTCTCAGCGATCAAAATGCCGATAATATATCAAGAAGAGTAATATGTTCGTTTTATTTTAGAACATCTATAGAGGCAGGAAGATTAATTAACATCGTGATGATATGTTTCAAGAAGTTAGCCAAGCAATAAACCAACTTACTTTATTATTACTTTACGGAAAATACAAGTTCGTTTGATTAGAGATATTATTGATGTAAATAATGGTAAGATGATCAGTTTGAATTTTTCGTTCGATTTTAGTTTTCTTGCACAAGACAGATAAAAGGATTCACCAATTAGGACATCTCCTTTTTATATAATTTGCAGGATCGATTTTGTTATAAACTTTTGGAAGAAATTACATTAATATGATCACATCACGAAAATCTGATCACACAAATTTTTTGACCATGAATTATGAGAACATTCACATCGCTTATATATTCCTTCTGCCATCTTCTTACACCTTTTGCAATATATATATGAATGATGATTGCATTCTTCACAAACCTTACAACCATGCTTCCATCCCTAAATATATGCCATTTTTTAAAATAGTTCTGCCCCTCCCTTGATCTGTCAAATCTGCAGGAGATGACTTACCTTAATAACTTTTCCCAATAGCATATCCTGTTGGTTTTTCTTTTTTTTCAAATGTATATGAGGAAAAAAAGAGTAGTAAAGTTATGTATAAATTAGAATGCGTTACCTGCTATATCATATAACAATTGTAACACTTCTAATCAATAGAATCTATTGGTTAATCATATGATAACGTCACTTAATTTCAATGACGTATACTGCACAGGATAACCAATATCACACTGCACATTTTAGATGATCGTCTCTTACATGACTAAATTACTATGTTATGATTGTGAACTTAAGTTTATTGCTTGAAGTGAAGCAAGTAAGACAATATTCCATTTCATTTTATACCATTCGTCATGTAATCCATAATTCCCATGTTTTCCATCACAAATAGGACATGGTGAGCTTCACAGTTGAATAAATGCAAAATTATAATTATCAATCCCTCTAAAACTATTTCGAAATTTTAAGTATATAAAATATTCTAACACAGATTTGATAATTAATTCTAGGTCAGATTTGGCTTTGAAGGTGATAGGCTTGAAATCAAAGGCTTGAGGTTTTTCTGATATACTTATCATGGCTTCTGATAATTACTATAGCTCATTTCCAATTTCTTTTTTATATCTTTTGTATAAATTAGAACAAATCTTATCTGTTAAAATGCTTGATAATCTACTTAATTTAACATGCTAATCCAGATATTCAGGGGTTAGTATTTTATCAGACTCAGTTATTTTTCTTTTTATATGATTGCAAACAATTTAAATCCCTTTTTTTCCATTAATTCAAAAAAAGATTAAAAATTTTCAGATAGAAAGCTGTCTAATATTTCTTATCATACTTCTAAAAAAATAGCTAGATCATCTCCCACATTTATAGAATAGGGAGAACTATGCAGTTATCTCAATTTCATGCTGTTCACATTTAATAAATAAAATCTGGCTTTATACTTACCTTCTATTTCTTCATCATTATGACCTATTTTGCATAATAAGCAAATAGTTTTTCTCAAGACCCCGCAAGATGTCTCATCAGTAATCCTATAATAATCGAAATTTTCACTATTACATTCTTTATATACTGTAGAGAGCTAACTAAACCACCCTGGGTATTTTATAAATCTACCCTTAAATTTGCAAAATACCCAGGTAGTTTGATCAGGGGGGTATTTTGTAAGAAAAGGGTGGCTTGAAATGTTATGTAGATCATCAATATATAAAGTTTTTTAGCATTCCATTTTTTGTATCGTGTTCTACTTTTTTGTATTGCGTTTCACTATTATACTATTAAAAATGGTTAGAGCAAATAAAAGTGCCAAGTGTTCTAGGTTTACTCTTAAAAAAAAGA